ATACATAATCCTATATATATGTATACATAAATAGAGGCAAACAAAGTATTTTGAGGTGAAACTTCAGTACATGGCAATAGAAAGTTATTATTGAAATGTTATATAATTTCTTTCGGTTTGGGTCTGGTGCAATTTAAACCTAGTTTTACTACATATTATCAAAGGAGTACCTATCTTACATGGAATACACGCGGATTTCGAGAAAGGTAAGATTTTCAATACGTAAATATAATTAATTAGATTATTATCCAAATATTTGATTCTAGAATACACTCAAAGGTAATAAATAGGAAACAGACAAAGCCTTTGCAGTCTTTTCAGTGTACAAAGTGTAACGATTTCAAAGGCATTGTAAGTTAACAAACGGACGGGAAATTGTTGTATTATTATATATTTATAAGTTCTCCCTGTTCTCTACAGGTAAAGGTTGAAGCAATTATTTGATTTTAAAATGAGAACTAAATAAATGATGTATATCTATGTAGATCTATGTTACCCGAATTCTGAAGTAATTGCGTACCTACCTATACAAGTAATTCATAATTGTGCTCTTTGAGCTTGAATTACTTATACACCTTTCTGATTTTTATTATTTTTTCCATAATATCAATCTTATTAGAGAACTATTGAAAAAAAACTTTAATTAATAGTTTGTTTGACCAAGGAATCTTCAGATTTTATGCCAGGCAGTCAATTTTCTCTACATTAGAAACGATAAATTGACTCTTAACGAAATAAGATGCACTTGGAAAGAGATGTTCCCTAGATTTGGGCTTCGCAACACATTTAACGATCATTTTTCACAGAGTAAATCTTTTCTATTTGGACACTTTTATAATTTCCATACAAAAGTTTCTGTTTGATTCTAGTTGTGATCAAAAGTGAATTATTGATTAAGTATACCGTCAGAAAAATCACTATATATGCTACAAAATTTATTTATTGCCCGGTAATTCGAGATTTCAATGAGAATAACTAATTTTTTTTGTGTATTTTTATTACATCAAAACATGAGAAAATAATGTACCTATGTAATTTATTCACAAGATATCAAGTAGATAAAGAAGTGGACAAGACGTTCAGGAGAGCTGGTGATAGATTGAGAGCTGACATTGACCTTACCAGTGGAAGGTGAGGGCACAGGCGGCTGCGACGCGCGGATGTTTTCAGTCGCGATTTGTCCGCGCCGCAACTTTGTCGTTCGGGCGACGTACAAGCGCCAAGCGCTCAGTTCCGCGTCTTACAATACAAGTGTGTTTCGTATCGTTTAAGCGAAAAAGTGTCACTGTGGAACTGTTAAAAACAATTTTATGAACCGAATGTGGATTTTAAATTATTATTAGCGAACGTGGATGCTAAGAAATTTCAAAGTATGTATCTATATCTTTTTTATTTATACTTTAATAATAATGATTTAAAGTTTCTTTTTCTTTCATTTTAATTGTACATTTAGAAGTTTTACACAGTAAATAAATTGGAAAAAAAATAATAATATGATTGAATATTGAGTTGTAATCGTTTACTATATGATTTTTTACTGACGTAGTTCTAACGTATTTTATCGCATCGGGTAATTCGTCAAGCTAATTGAACAGAACAACAAAGTTAGTCGTGCTTGCTAGTTTTTCATGTATTATTATTATTCATCTGTTCGGTATATTCCATATTTTTACAAGGTTCGTTCAGAAATCTGAATTATACCTACTCACACATTATTTTATTTTGTGCTGTATTTCGGTTGGACGATTTATTTTTCTATTTAGGTATACTTATTACAATAAATAATCATGTAGACTGTAGGTACGAAATAAATAGAATTCAAAGACATTTCGGTCATTAAATGTCATACATATTAATTAATCAAGTATCAAATTAATATGCAATGAAAATTGACTTGTTGTGTACTTATTGAAATTTCCACAAATCACATGAACGTCTTTGCATAAATAACTTTTAAATATTCGTGATTCTTTGAAGTTGTTTCAACGAATCGGGTTTAGAGTACCATTAAAGGTAATTGTGGTTTTAATTTATTTTGTTGGTTCGTTTGGTGTAATGAATAAGTTGTGGGTTCTTTTGTGTGACAACATTTCGTTTTGATTTGTTTCCATTGATTTACAATGTAATTTCACACAATTCAGTGTCGAAAGTTTTCGATTGTTCGCTTTGTTTGGAAAATTATTTTAGCTGTAAATCTTTTAACGGAGGAGTTAAATTTCATAATTCTTCTAGTTTCTTGATATCAAGTTGCTCAATACTTGGTTGTTTCTTTTTCGACCAAGTCACTGATTGCTATCTGTGATTGTGTGGATATTTAAAATTGATATAAACCTGTCTACTTGGACAAAATAATTGCTTGAGGTAGTGGTCACTCCGGTCGGTATAGGTATGCATGCAATAAAGTGACCTTGTATTATGGATATATATGGATTTTTACAAAAGGAATACAACGAACTATGTTAATCTAGAATTCGATAAATATGTAATTAATTGGTATGCTTATATTTCTAAATTAATGCAATGAATTCAATTACATCAACCTTGATTTGATGTCTAACTCGAAAATACGCAAAATTTATTTAATTAAAATTAATTAGTATGGCGAATTATTTTCGAGTACTTATACAATAGAAATGAATTAAAATCAAAGACCAAAGATTAGAATATGTGTAATTTAGGAAGCTTCAATAATTCACGGAGCAAATAAACAATAATTTATGCTGGAATTTTAATTATTTATATATCAAAATTGAACACAGGTAGTTCTGAGAAGTTTTATTATATTATTGACCTTATTTTAACGAACCGGCTTTGAGAAATTATTAAAATATGCTTGGATTTGTTTGAGGAGAACTTTACTGATATTATTCGAAGTATTTAATATATAATTTTATTTTGGATTTTATAAAATGAATATCTTATTGGAACGTCGAGCCCCGGGGTTTAGCAGAATGCGTCCCTCAACATAAACTTTGAAGTAAACGATTTTGTTAACAATTAACAATAAAATTGTTTCATACTTAACAAAGGGGACGGAAGTTTCTTAAATTAATTCGTACAGACTTAACAAGAAACTCTAATGGACGTCAAAAGAAAGGAAATAGGTTTTCGCTAAGTAGTTTCATTTTCTTAGTTCTATATAGGTATAGGATAGATTTTTGGTCCGACTTATTTCTCATATTAGTAAATAACTTTTATAAGACATAGTCATATGTGCTCTACCTATATTTTTAAATTGTAACGACGAAAACATGATTTTTTATACTTTCTTGACTTTCATAATATTTATTGTATTATTCTTATTGAATATTATTAAATGTTTACAGAAATATTACCAAAGCATTACATTTTATCGTCATAATAACGATTGAATTATAATATTTTTTAAAACTACTGACAAACGTAAATTGATATGACATCAAAATGTCATTTGTGTTATTTTTGAGTATGTTGGTAGAGGCATGTGCATCAGTAGGTATCTAATACTTGATCGAAACGTCGAGTTAGTGCAGACATAATTAATGCCTTAGCCAAGGCAGAAGCAGAAAAAACTTCAGAGTTACAGATTGTCAAGTAAACTAAAATACTCAAATTATGAAATATGTGATATCATTAATGATATCCACATGATAGTAGAATGTAGCAAATATGTTGGTGGCCGAGAACCACTGATACGTGAATTTAAATTGAATGCGGTAGATGTCGGTTATTTTACATCTATTCTAGCAAATCCCACTTCGTCTGCAGCCATGGCCTTATATAATATCTTCATGCATTTTGACCAATTTACTTAATTAAGTATGTTACATGTTAGAAAATATGTCCTAATGGGGCTGAGAAGTCCCTAAACGAAAAGTCCCTCAAACCAAAGATAATAAAAAAAAACCTATATATATTTTCAGTGTTTGTATGTACCTAAGGACATAGAGATTAATTCATAATGATATTTGTTTTATTCAAAGCTATATTAATATTATTGTTCTATTTTATTTGCAAAAAAGAGAACAAAAACATTCATCTCACTTTTTGTTAAATGAAAAGCGTATGTAAAGTCCATGGGGATTGAAATCCAGGAACCCTGGCTTAGTATAAACCCTAGATGTAGCTACAAATAACAGCTACACATGTGCCTAAGCCGTTCAATATATTTTCAGTTACAATTGCCATAAAAATAACCTGCTGTAAGCCGACAAGCGTTCAACTTGTAGCATGTTATGTCATGGTAGGTGGACGTATCGTGGTACACGTACTATGATATACATGAATACACGTCAAATAAGGTACTTGCCTTAATCAAAAATAAATTATTTCGACTGTTCAATACAATAAAATATAAAAGAAATAATCACACTTTCATTAATTGATTTTACGACAAACATAATTTTAGTATTAGTCAAGCAAATTAAAAAAATAAATATGGTGTTTTACGAAAAAAAAACGTGACGTCACAATACACAATCTCGTATAAAATTCATAATAAACTGTAGTTTTGACAGTTCGAAAAAAGTATTGAATTTGACTACTGTAAGCCGACAAACGTTCAACTCGTAGCGTGAGAGGATGAGACGCATCGTGGTACACGTACCATGGTACACATGACTTCACGTCAAATTGTATAAAACCGGTATAACTTGGCCGTCAAATGTCCGAAAACATCGTATAAAACGAGACCATGATAAACTGATTTTGTATCGTTCGATGTGAAGCTGCGTGAGCACGTGTCCCACATTTTTGTATATTATCAAGTCGTCCTTTATAATTTTCTCGCACGCGCCATCTTAGAGGATATTTTTATATCTAATAGCAATTTCTTCCTACTTATTTGATAAGGAAAACGTATTTTTATTCCTTTGCGGGGTTGCAATCGACATAATTGATTTTGAAGTGAAATAAGGGTTTGTTTACAGAGTTTATTTAATTGTGATGTTGGAAGTTATTGGTGATTGATTTCGGATTCTAATCCTTGTAGTTAGAGTTTTAGTTTTTAGTTTCAGGGCTTTTGACCTGGTTAGGTATGATATACTCTGGCATAAATTGAAGTATTCAGGTGTGCCAGGCGAGATAATTAATATGTTTAAATATTGGTATGATCACCAAACTAACCAGGTCAAGTGGCTTGATGAACTTTCTGATGAGTACAGGTTGGAGTGTGGAGTGAGACAGGGGGGGTTGACGTCTCCTACACTCTTCAACTTGTACGTAAACGGGCTGATTGATGGGCTGAGCAACATCGGAGTGGGATGCTCGATTGATGGTTGCTGTATCAATAGTATAAGCTACGCAGACGATATGGTGTTGCTCAGCCCATCAGTAGCCGCGCTCAGAAAGATGATAGGCGTGTGTGAGAAGTATGCGAAAGTGCACGGTCTCCTATACAATGAGCAGAAAAGCGAGCTCATGGTATTTCAGGCCAGGGGTCGTAAACTGGGGGATGTGGCACCTGTACTGCTTAACGCTGTCACTCTTCAAAGAGTGAAGGAATTTAAATACCTCGGCCATGTGGTAACCGAGGATTTAAAAGACGATAGGGACATAGAAAGAGAGAGGAGGGCGATGGCGGTCCGCTGTAATATGTTGGCACGCAGATTTGCGGGGTGTAGTCTTGGGGTAAAGATCACGTTGTTTAAAGCATTCTGCCAAACTCTCTACACCTGCAATCTGTGGGTCGGATACACGCAGCGGGCCATCAACGCTCTCCGTGTACAATATAATAACGCGTTCAGGGTGCTGGTGGGGCTCCCGCGCTGCTGTAGTGCGTCTGCGATGTTTGCGCACGCGCGCACTGACGCCTTTCACGCGGTGCTGCGGCGCCGCATTGCCTCGCTGATGTTCCGTACGCGTGGGAGCGCCAACACCATCTTGAGCGTGCTCACCCAAAAACTGGATAGCCCCCTTATGAGGCACTGGGTTCAAACTCAAGTGTGCGTGGCCGGTGCCTCAAAGGGAGGCAAATACTTAAGTTAATTCTATTGTTGTAAAAAAAAAAAAATGTTATGATATTTCTTTACCTAAATTGACATTAATTAAATTGACAATATAAAAAATAACAATGATTGATAGTGCGGTGTTATAATGTAATAAATTAAATTAAATGAATTAAATTAAATTAATTAAGAATTATATATATTTCATAATATTAAACTGTAAATGTATGGACCCAGTATGTCTGAAATAAATTTATTTTATTTTATTTATTTATTTAACTTCAATAAATATTGGACTTATATATAACGGATGTAGCGCAATGTGGCTGTTACATTTTATATGTATTCTTTTACTATTCTTTCAGGGTACACATAAGTTATAATTTTATGTAGGAATGAATTTTGATATACATACAAAGTTTGTAATGACTACATTGAAAAGTTTCTTAAATACTTATTATTTTCGCACAAAGTGTTCTGTTAGGTACATTGTGTTTTGTTGTAAGACGATGGCCTTAGGCTCTTTTATCTTTCTGTACCAGCCTTACAGCATCACCTCATATATAATAATATACAAAACACGTGGATAAACAGTACTATATATTAACTACATCATGTCTTGAATACCCAAAGTAACTTTCGTGTGTTGAGCTTCAGTAATTGGAACAAACTAATTAACAGAGTATCAACTAAAACGATTCTATTCATTTACATCAAACCTTTCAAGTAACAAATTTAGTGCTCAAATACTGTAAATTTACTAACAGTTAAGTGTTTTAGACGTAAACATTAATTGTTTACGTTAGAAGAAAAGTAATACCGGAAACTAGCTGAACCGGCAACTTTTTCTGCGTTTTTCTAAAATAAAAGTAGCCTATATGTTAGTTCTCAGTACATTAGCTAGCTGTCAATAAAAGTCTCGTCAAAATCGATCCAGCCATTCCAAAGATTAGCCAGTACAAACATACAGACAGACAGACAGAATAAAATTGTAAAAAGTGTTAGTTCGGTATGTATCGCATGTAGTAAAAAGCGGTTATTCCAATATTACAGACACGCCAATTTTATTTATCTATATAGTTAAGGTACTTGTTGTTGACAACAAAGGGGAAATCGGAACGTAGTAGTCAAATTTTGTTTGAAGTGTAGTCAGAGGCGCTCGATTTACTTAAATCTAGACTTAGTAATTTGATTCCCGGAACATAAAAAGTTTATTAGTTTCAAGTTAACTTTCGATTCTCCAAACGTGTACTTTGAGGTGAGGCACTGCACTGCAGAGCTGGCCGCCCTCGTGTCCACGCGAATGATCCTGTGATGGTTTTAGACAGTAAGAGCCTTTAGCCTTTGTCTTCTCCAGACGAGTGGTTTGATTATGGTTCCCAATCAAAAAAGAAACTTTAATTCCATAACGAATAAGGATACATTTTATTATTCAGAGATAAATATTAATAAACTTCATTTCGCACTATTGTACATAGGTATGTACTTATATCTGCGTATCATAGCTACATGATTGTTTTTGACCATTTGACCAAATGAATAGTTTCAATGAATACCTTCATACATTAGGTACATTATCGGTAGAGTTATGCACAGCCATATGGCTGATTGAAAGGCTAACTATTCATAGCTAATGTTTTACACTATGTTTAGTATTTTAGCTACCTACTTATTAATGTTTATTACCAATAGAATTTACTCGAATTGGTATATGGGATTTAACAGTAAGTGACATTGTAGTAATTTATAATTTTCGACAAATGTGTTGGCGAAAACAAAATCGACTGGTTTTATTATTTCCGAAATAGTCGATTGAACTCGATAGCAACTCGCACGTACCTACGGTTTAAGACCAAAAAAGAAGACAAATAGATTACCTATCTAATAAAAAACATAATTAAGTATACTGGCAACTTAAAAACAAAGATTATGTAGTTGGAGAGGCTAAACAAAAAAAAAAAATAAACAACATTTCGAATTTCAATTTGGGAATTATCAATATTAAGTAAATGCACGCGCGGCGCGTCACATTGATTGATGGGCCGTCTCGTTGTTGAATGACTGTGTTTCACAATGACAGACTAGTACACAAGGCACTGTGTTCGTGTATTAATTCATAATATAGAAGAAAAAATCGGTATAACTTAAAAATTAATGGTGATTCCGTTTCGTATATTAAGGGAAAGTATTGTGGTCTCTAAAAACACGACAAGTCTCTTATTCCCCAACGGAGTAATTGTTTGTCCATTGTCATGCATCGAATTTCAAATCAAACTCGAACAGTTCTGTGTTGAAAATTGAAACTAAAAGTCAAGAGCAGTTTGCAATAGTCACAACAGTCGTTAACGCAGCAACAGAGTTATCTCACCTACACTAACAACTTACAACGTAACTCATGAAACTTTAAATACTTAAACAATATTGGTACTTACTTAACTCATTCAAAACTTGAAATGGTAGGAAACAAAGTAAGAACACATTACTTGAGTTTAGCTGCAATTAGCTTTGTGTATCTATTGAAATTTATATTTAGAATTACCTACTATAATTAATAGCTAATGAATCATTTTAATGTGTACCAAAGAAAAACCTTAGGTATTTCAACGAAAACAAACAGGGTGATATATCTAATAATCCAATAGGTAGGTATAATAAAAATAATAATGAAACCTATACCGAAATGACACCTGCAAAGCAAAATGGCCGACACGTAGTTATTTCTGGAGAAGAAAAGTACCTATCATAGTGTCATAAAAAGCACAACACCATTAAAAGGCCTATAAAAAGGCTATTTCGTTACTTACTCGTAACTATGTGGCAAAATGTCAACGTACGTCTAATCTCATGGTTACCGGTTTAAAACAATACGCAGGGTATAGGATTAGTTATGACAGTTCATAGTCCAACAACTGTCAAAGTTAGTCGCTGTCAAACTTCTATCATTAGTCTATGAGACTCTGTTTGTTACATAATCTGTAAAATCGCTGCATTTTTATTCCGCGATTTAGTAAAAATAAAATTCCAAAACGCTCTTATGGTAGCAAAAACGTGTTTCAAAATAATATTTTATTAATCAACCAATATAATGCTAATGCAGTTCGGTGTCCTCCAAAACGGTTTTATTGCAATATTTTTTAAGAACAGTTATTTGCTGTTAAACACAAACATTTAATATCGAAGAGATGGCTGATAAAATCAATCACTTTTATGGCAAATACTGTAATGTAAATACTAATAAATTTTGATGTGAGATTGAATGGGGTTGTGTCTTTAGTTAGGCAGTTGTCTTGGTAAATCTATTCTTCATATTAACTAGATAAGACAACGCTTACCGCATTTGGCATGCAAGTTACTCAAAGTGGGAATTGGATCTGTGACCGCACAAGGCGGAAGCTACCCCTCTGCCAAATATGCTATTATCCAGATTTAACTAACATAAATTGAGCGGGGAATACGGTGCTGATTCATTTATAGAAGGAATTGAGATGGGTTTTGAGTAATATCGAAGAATTCCTGTTCATGTGTATAAGTATGTGAGGATCGTGCGAGATTCATATAATAAGCTGCTTTATGATTTCTGTCCACTCAAATAGGATTCAGTTTTGTATGTATCTCTACTGTAAAGTAAAATAAGTGTGATATATAAAGATGTATTAAACTTAATATAACAAATAGTTCTACAGTTCTACACAACACGCGGAGAGGATTCATTCAAATTCTTTACAATAGAACAATGATTAATGATGTACAATGATGGATGTCGAAGGCAAATAAACTTCGTCATTCATGCGTCTTGTGTGTGAACTATAGTACCTTACTCGTAATATATTTTCGAGTTTTTGATGCTCATATATCTTAATGAACACAGTTATTTTTAAAATATATTAACTGCTTCGTATTCTTCTGTGTACCCCTGTTTTTTTTTAAATAATAAATTTTATTTCTCCACGGAATTGTATCCGTGGAGAAATAATCATATCTTAACATATTACAGGTACATGGTTGTCATGGTCAAATAATTGTTATAAAGATCTTACATGCTACGCCAACCACTAATATCACTACACAATGTACTTTATGTTGTTACCTAATTATTATAATCCTTTTATCTTACACTAACCCTACTGGATCAGCCCATGTGTACCTCTGTTCCAAATTTCATCTTCATACCTTCAGCTGTTTTCATGTGAAGGTGTAATAAACAAAGAAACACAAATTTTTGTATTTATAATAGTAGTAGGATTTAATAAATATATTTAACTAGCTACTTCCGCGCGGTTTCACACGCTCTGCTCAGCTGCTATTGGTCTTAGCGTGATGTTTTATAGCCCATAGCCATCCTCGATAAATGCGCTATCCCACACAACAAGAATTATTCAAATCAGATTTATAGTAACGGAGATTAGCGCGTTCAAACAAACAAATAACAAAACAAACTTCCGCTTTATATAATAAGTATAAGATGAAGTAGAAGAACGTTCAATATATACAATACATTATTACTAAAGATTAAATCTAGTTTATTTTTGACCGAGGACCTCAATTCAGGGATAAAAAAATAACAGAACAGCCCTTAATGAATAGTGTACCTGTACAATAAGATAAAATACAATTACATTAGCTACTAAGTCTACAGACGGGACAACTGTCGACAGATGGAGATTCTATTGTAATCTCCAATTGATTTTATTTATTCCGCTCGTAAAATTTATACGACCGTTTGTTGAAGATTGTAGTTATCGACGTAACAGCTATAGGTATGAATGTAGGTACCTACCTACTTCTAAACAATGTAGGTATGTGTATTTTATTATGGGGTTTTATTAATTTATCTAGGTTATCAACTTATCGGGTATTTGTCCGTAGTAAGTATATACTCTTTTAATACAATGTTGAGCAATCTAAGTGTTAGGATCGACTATAATGATTAATGATACATCTATGGGGTAGACATTTTAGACTCTATCGCAGTTTGTTCTTCAAGTCCTACAAAGTATTCTTGACGTTTCAGGCCAATAATATTTTGGCATAGAGGCCTTCGTAGCTTGTAGATAAAAATAATA